ATGTATATGTATATATGTGTGTATAATGCATGTGTGTATAATGTATGTGTGTGTGTAATGTATATGTATGTGTGTGTATGTAATGTATGTGTGTGTATAATGCATATGTATATGTCCTCACAGCTACTTGACCCCCCAGGCAGTGCATCTTTAACTACTTCTATTTTATGGGACTGTCTGCATGTCAGTCTAAGTGGGTATACAGTTATTTGTGTTTAAACTCCGGAAATTTAAAGTAGAAATATTGATTGAGATTATTTGAGGGGGCAGTTTTAAATTCTCAGTGTCAGTTGGTGGCCTGGTCATATGGCTCAGTACTTGCAGACAGCATGAGGCCCCAGCATCACACAAGATGGGTGGGGGGAGATGCTGAAAGAGTGTTCCAGTTTTAAACACTATGTGATCTTGGACCTTGGGCCTGTCTCTGCCTTCCTCCCTGTCGGGGAAGTTCCTCGGGAGTAACTCTCGAGGCTGGGGTCTGCACATACCTACACATACCTGCACACACATACATTACGTCACCAAGCAGCAGCTGCTCTAAGTGTGGAACTGACGCTTCTTGCTTCTCTCTGCCTTTTCTCTATTCTCCATCCATTCATCAAATGCTGCTTTCCCTTGCAGGAGATCCTTCACCACTGAAGGCAGAGATAGCGTTCCCAGGTGGTCTTCTTTTAGCTCAGAAAATGCCCATCCTCCACTCTGGTTCACTTAGAACCAGGTTCTCTCTGGTTATGGACAAGAGTTTGTTGACTTAAGTAATTAGGATAGGGGATGTAAAAAGCCATACGAGGCCTGGAGAGATGGTTCAGCCATAAAAAGATAAGGCTCCCAACCAAAATATAAAAAGACACCAGAGCTACACCAGTTTATAGTCTACCATAACCTGGCTTTTGCTCAACAACTCTTGCCTCCTTCATAGCATACAATCAGAAAGGTCAAAGCTGGAAGCACTGGCCTAGGAGTAAAGATAGTCAGGCTCTTTAATTACTAATACCAATAGATCAGGACAGTAATCTTACACACACACACACACACACACACACACACACACACACACACACTCAACTAGAAATCATGCAAATTTTGCCATCTGACCACCACAGAACTAAGTTAGAACTCAATAACATATATATTTGGAAAACATCCAACTATTTGAAAATTTAATATAATTTTGAATAACTTATAAATAAAAGAAATTCATGGGGTTGAGGAGATAGCCCGGAAGGTAAAGGGCATACTTCATAAGCCTGAGGACCTGAGTTCTCTCCCAGCACCCATGTAAGTCTGGCACAGTGGCCCTCTCCCGAGATGTCTGCTGGTGAGGCGAAGACTGACGGTTCCTGGAGTTTGCTCGCCAGGGGCTAGTTGAATAGACAAGGTCAGGTTCAGTGGGACACCCTGTCTCAAAAAAATATGGAGTAAAAGCTCTGGCCTCTACATGTGTCGGCTTGTGCACCTGATCCCACACACTCCGTACATACACACCACACACATATGCAAGAAAAGAGCAAATCCCAGTTTCAAGCATGAGACAATGACCAATATCTTACACTGTATTGTTAAGCAAACAAGGAAACATCATGAACAACTTTCAACCAATAAATTAGATAGCCTAGATGAAATGGAAAGATTTCTTGAAAGATATTATTAAAGTTCTCTTTCTCAAGAAAGAAGAGAAATGTCTGTGGTCCTACATCCATTAAAGAGATTGACTGGTAGCTTAGAACATCCTCAATAAAGGCCAGGCCTCCATTGCTTCTGGTGTTGAGTTCTACTAAATGTCTATGCATAAAATAATACCAGTTCTGCACACTAACTGTTTCAGAAAATCATGGTCAAGTAAGTATTACCTAGGTGTGTAAGATTGGTTGGACAGTTTGAAACCATTGTGTTATACCATAGCGATCAGGACAGTTTGATATCATTGTGTTATACCATAGCGATCAGGACAGTTTGAAATCATTGTGTTATACCATAGCGATCAGGACAGTTTGAAATCATTGTGTTATACCATAGCGATCAGGACAGTTTGAAATCATTGTGTTATACCATAGCGATCAGGACAGTTTGAAATCATTGTTATACCATAGCGATCAGGACAGTTTGAAATCATTGTGTTATACCATAGTGATCAAGACAGTTTGAAATCATTGTGTTATACCATAGCGATCAGGACAGTTTGAAATCATTGTGTTATACCATAGTGATCAGGACAGTTTGAAACCATTGTGTTATACCATAGTGATCAGGACAGTTTGAAATCATTGTTATACCATAGCGATCAGGACAGTTTGAAATCATTGTGTTATACCATAGTGATCAAGACAGTTTGAAATCATTGTGTTATACCATAGTGATCAAGACAGTTTGAAACCATTGTGTTATACCATAGCGATCAGGACAGTTTGAAACCATTGTGTTATACCATAGCGATCAGGACAGTTTGAAACCATTGTGTTATACCATAGCGATCAGGACAGTTTGAAACCATTGTGTTATACCATAGCGATCAACACAAAGGACGTGAACATCTGATATAAGTGGAAACGGCTGTTAACCAAAGTCACCCTCCTATTGTGGCTAAAATAACCGAATAGAAAGAGCCTGGTTGAATACCCTTTTTATCCCAGCATTCAGGCGGCAGATGGGTAGATCTCTATGAGTTCAAGACTAACCTGTCTGCATAATGAGTTCCAGGTCAGCCAGAGGTATATGGTGAGACCCGTCTCAAAAAAAAAAAAAAAAAAAAAAAAAAAAAACAAAGTAGGAGTATCAGGGAGCTTCCTCAGCCTAGGGAATTAGCAGCTAAAGCTGTCCTCAGTATGGAGAAGTCAAGTGCTTCCCTCCCTTTCCTCCCCCTCTGCCTTAGCCTTGTGTCTCTGCCACAACACTCACTCTTACCAGAGTTGGCTATTTACATGTGTCAGAAGTTCTCACAGCAGGAACTTCAACTGCATCCTTGACAAGATGGGTGCAGAATTTGCTCAGCACAGCAGCCGTGGGATCAGCCTCCATAGCCTTCTGTGCCTCTTCTCAGGAGGCTTTTTGTTGTTGCAGGACACATCATACCCCAAAATCCTCTGTAAAATGTGTGGGTGAGGTAAATTACAGCTGTAGAAAACGGCTCTGCTCCCTGGTTTAAGAACTGGAACATCCACCAGTCCATCTGGTGAGCCCTTGAGGGTGGCGCTCCAATCACATCCTTCCTTTAGTACCCCAGTAACTGTGGTAATTAATTACCACTACTCAAGTTCTGTTTAGTTGTCTTGAAACAGGGTCCCACTGTAGTTCCAGCTGGCCTAGAATGCACTCTGTAGGCCAGGCTGGCCTTGAATTTATCATAACCCTCCTGCCTAGGCCTCTCAGGTGCTGAATTATAGGTGTGTGCCCAGTTTTATTGCACATTTTATATGAATGCTTTCTTTCATAGTTTCACAACATAGTTGTATGTCTAAGCAATAATCAACTTTGTCTGTTTTTAAGTGTTTCTTTAAATAGAATCCTGCTAAATTGTATTCTGATTTGCTTTTTTTTTTTTTAATTCTTCAGCCTTATATGTTTGAGATAAACCCATGTTGTGTGAAGTTGGAGTTCCTTGGTTTTCACAGTGTGTAGGATTTCATACTAGATGAACAGTGTTCCGTTTCTACCCGTTACTGCTCAGGAACATTTGAGCCGTCTGCACTTGATGCTCTTTAGGAACGGTGCTGATGTATACATTCCTCAGATACCTGCTGGAGAACCTGCAGAGATCTCTATAGACATCCCTAGAAGCGGATCCCTCACTGGGGGGGGGGGGGGGGCTGTTTAAGGCTAGCCTGTAATGACGAGTCATTGTCCACAGTGACTGCCCCAGGGTGCGTGCTCAGGAGACTTCAGGGTGCCTTCCTTGCGTCAGGCCTCCCTGCTTAGCATTGTCAGTTGACTCTGCATTCATTTTTATTGTGTGGCACTGGTGTGACTGCTCACCTTTGTGTTTGCCGCTGTTGATGTTTCATTTGGTGTGAGATGCCCGTGTGCCTTCAGCTCAAGTCATTTCAGCCCATCTGATTGTTAGATCTGATTCCTCCTTGATTGGAATCCTGGCTTTGTCCTAGATCCGATTGCTATATATGTGCAGAAGGTAAACGGCTCTCTCCTCCTAACCCGCTGGTCTGTCTATCTGTCCTGGGGCAGTAACAGTGCCATCTTCATCACAAGTCTTGATGGTCTCCCCTCTTGTGCCCTAGACCTGGTGACACTAGTCACGCCCTTTCTCTCCTTTGAAGATTTCAGGGGCTGGGGAGATGGCTAGTGTGTAAAATACTCACTGTGTTAGTTTGAGGAAATGAGTCCAGAGCCCCAACACACACATAAAAGCCAGGCTGCACCCCTGTAACCCCGGTTCTGAGGGAAGGAGATAGCAGGGTCCCAGGAGCTTGCTGGCCAGCCAGCTCCAGATCAGAAAGAGACCCTGTGGGCAGCAATGGAGGGCACTTGACGCTGAACTCTGGTCACCATGCACTCACACCCAGGTGAGCACACCTGCACATGCATGTGAACATGCGAACCCACACACAAGATTTCACATAGTGATTGATGGTCTAATTCCTAGACCAGGTTTTCTTTCCTATGTGAATTTAATTATATCTGTATGCTTCCTCTTCAAAGACCAAACAGAGTGTTTTCTTTGATGCAGTGATTTAGCCTTTTGACATGGGTTACCCACTTACCATTATTTGGAAAATGTAGATCAACATAAAACATTTAACCACTGCATTTTTTACTCTTTGTTTTCATTTTGTCCCTGCAAATAGGGTAAAAGCCTCACAATTTTACAAATACACTCTGTGTTTCTACACAAGGAAAAAGATCTGATTTTCCTAAGACTTGTTCTCGCTGCAAGGCCCAATCATGCAGCCACCATAAGGGTGCGCACTGTTGTGGCTGCCTGGCAGTCACGGGAGTGGTTTTCCTGTCTTGCTGAAACTCGTTTTCATGTTTGTCAATTTCCCTTGCAGCTTCTGCCTGTGAGTTTTTGGACATTGTGGAGCTGCTGCTCCAGTCTGGCGCTGACCCCACTCTCCGAGACCAGGACGGCTGTCTGCCGGAAGAGGTGACAGGCTGCAAGGCAGTTTCTCTGGTGCTGCAGCGGCACAGAGCTGGCAAGGCTTGATCCAGAGACTAGAAAAGCACAGTCTGATGGGATAGGACTTGAGGATGAAAGAAACTGCAGAACGATACTTCCTTACCACCCATCTTTGGTATGCATTGGCTAATAAAATCAGTTCTGAGGAACTGGGATTCTGACGTCTCAGCAATTCATTCTCCATGCATACATTCTGGGGGAGTACAGTTTTGGTGATGAACATGTGTACTGTGCATAATATAATCCAATTCTGCCGAGCACGCTTTGAAATTTATCACTGCTCTAGAGGGTGGGGAGAGGAGCAGACAGGTCATATTTCACAATATTAAACATGGCTACGCTCTTCTCTCTCTCTCTCTCTCTCTCTCTCTCTCTCTCTCTCTCTCTCTCTCTCTCTCTCTCCCCCTCTCCCTCTCTCTCTGTCTATTGATCTATCTAATCTATCTATCCATCTATCCATCTATATCTCTCTTTCTCAATACAGAAGCAAAATGTGCCAATCAGCACAGGACCACACTAACAGTTAGGGAAGTCGTGAAATCCCGGCCCAGTAAAGAGCAAATGGTCCTGTAGCGTTCCACAGCTGATCTGAATAGGTGGTTAAAATGGCTCTTCTGTAAAAACAGACTTGAGAACATACTATAAGGAGAGAAGGGGTGTTAAGAAAGGTAAGCAAGAGAGGGAGAGGACAGAATTCTGTCACCTGGAGCTGTGGAAGTCAGCTCAACAGTCAGTGAAAGCTCAGGACCTTTAGCATTTCAGCGCAGTACTCAGCAACCTCACTTGAGGATTGAGACATAGGTTCTGGAGAACATCTGTTAGATCAGGATTCCTTAAACACAAAGCGGGAAAAGAATTTCCCTAAGGACTCTAAGTTAGCTATAAGGACCTTTGCAGCAGTACTCTAAAAAAAAACCAACTCAGGCCTGCCCTGGAACCTGCTGGCCTGTCTGCTTGCCCTGTGTGCTCCTGTTGGAGTTGTTTCTGGTGCTGGGGGAACACTGTTTTGTTTTAGAAGCATGATAAGTAGGCAGGTGTGCCACGTATTTTATCTTAAAGACAAACAGTTGTACCAGCTCTGAGCCTGACTCCCTGGATTTTCCCTTTTAAACCTTAAGAACGTCACCTAGGGAATTCCTTGACGTTCTTATTATACAAGAAAGAGAAGTGAAGGAAGAAATTAGCTGCAAGGCAAACGTAGCCATTAAAAGATGATTTTCTAAGAGGTGTGACTGGCACACTAGCACACCTTGCTTGGTGGAGGCCCATAGCAGTGCGTACTGTTCTTCTTAGCTTGAGCTAGCCTATCCTGGAGCAAACCCCTCCACAACATCTGGCATATGAGTACTGCTTGTTTTATGATTTTTATACCTCCGTACATTCTGAGATGCAAAAACAAGCCATTCACCAAGGCTAATCATTTTTTGAAATGATTTCGTAACTACCTGTGGGAAATGGCCTTGGTGCACACTGGGAAGTTAGTTCTGTCACTGCATCTCTGGCTGTGCTGCGGTCTGCCTTAACCCAAGTCTTTTGTGTCCACGTTCATCAAATGGATCTTCTAAAAAAAAAAAAGCTGGCCATGGTTGCGCACACCTTTATTCCGAACACTTGGGAGACAGAGGCAGACAGATCTCTGTGAATTCGAGGCCAGCCTGGTCTACAGAGTGAGTTCCAGGACAGCCAGAGCTACACAGAGAAACCCTGTCTGAAAAAACGAAAAAATAAAAATTATACCTTGGTTCCAGTAAAGTGACCGAGGCACTGACACTATGTGCAGTGTTTAATCGGCATTATTTTGTTCCTTTTACAGCATTAGCAAGCCAAGTTATTCGTTCATCTAAACATTTTAGAGTAGTTCTCTGAGCAAGAAACGATTCAGGAACTTCTTTTTCCATCTACTTTCCTTTTGCAGATAGAACCCGGTATTTCTTAGACAGGTTTTTTATGGCTTGCTCTGCCACAATTAAAACTATATAGACTTTTTGAGCAAAAGATATGGATTGTGTTGCTTACTTTATTTTAAAGATTTTAAATCCAAGACTATGAGTAAAAACAGTTATCAGTGAGGCAGAGTGTGATGGTGCCCATCATCCCAGCACTGGGGAGGCTGAGGGGGAGAGATTATAAGTTCAAAGCAAGCCTGAGTTACATGCAAGACCTTGTCTCAATAAATAAATTTTAAAAAATGTGTGTATGAGGGGGATAATATCATATCAGTTTAATAGTTTCAAGTCTGGTGCATTCTAAAATTAATTTCCAAAACTTCTATTCTTCTGTTCCCAACATCTGAATTTCCCAAAGCCTTACTATCACACAGTATTCTATGGATCATTTTCCTGAGTCTTCTATAGAAGATTTCATCCATAAATGTCAGCGAACACTGAGTCATGGTTTATTTTCATTCCTTTAAATTATTGAATTATTATGCTCGCCTGTCACACACCGGTCAGCTCCTGAGTTCATTACCAAAGGCTGCAGTTCATCAGCGAAGAACAGTGCCCTGAAGCAGCCAGCCAGCCGACTTCCCTGATGCATAGGGCCTGTGCTTTTCACATACTCCAGCAGGCTCAGGCAGTAATGCCGTAGCTTCATGCTAGTCATGTGTAAGGCAACTGCTTATTAGAACATTCCATAGGAAGTCTTCACCCAGGAGAGTCATTTCTGCTAAGACCTCAGCAAGCACTGGAAAATGTCCAGCTCTTTTTGGTTTTTGGTTTTTTGGGGGGGGGTTTTGTTTTTTTTGTTTTTGTTTTTCAAGACAGTGTTTCTCTGTGTCGTTTTGGTGCCTGTCCTGGAACTCCCTCTGTAGACCGGGCTGGCCTCCAACTCACAGAGATCTGCCTGGCTCTGCCTCCCAAGTGCTGGGATTAAAGGCATGTGCCACTGCCGCCCAGTGAAAATGTCCAGCTCTTTTTGTTTTTAATGTTTACTCATTAGGATTTATTTTAACTCATCCTTGCTTTCTGCTCTCCAATTTGATATTTCTAATGCATATGAGCATTTTAAAAATGGTTACTAAAAGCTGGGTGGCAGGACTCATAAAGTGGTTGTGATGAGACACACTTGTTACAGCACCACCTTTGGTATCTAGACAGTACGTACCACCTTCCTATTCTGCTTTCTCAGTTCTCTATTTCTTGGACTGTCATCCAGAATGCCTCCTCCATAGTGTGCCTATGCGTGAACGCGTGCTTACCTTCTTTCTTTATGTTGCTTTTTTTTGGCTTTGTGATCAGAACCCTGCCACTGTCTTTCTGTATTTAAAATTTATTCATGGTTATCATTTACTTTGTCCTCTATCGACTGATCTAAAAGGCCCCAATTGCCTTTACAGTAGTCTCGGTGCAGTCATGGTAGTTTTGGTGCACACTGGTGAAAAATGAGAAATGCAAAGGAAATCATGTCAACAAATATCAAAGAGAGGGCAAAGTGTCTGACTCAGTTGAGCTTCGGAACCCTGGCTGAGTCTGCGTGTGTAAATCGTACCAGACACTGAGGGCAGGGCCTTGGGCGGGCTCGGCAAACACTCTGCCCTAACCTCCACCCAGGCCTTGCCCGAGTCTGCCTTCTAGTTGGTAGCTCTTAAATGTGAGCGGGTTTCAGGTGACTTGGAAAAGCTGGAACATCCTGTCTTGGGACAGTGCTGTGCTGGGAACGGAATTTTGAGGGCTTTACACTCTCCTAAAGCCCGTCCATTGTCGCCGTTCGGTCTCTCAGAGATACAGTTTCTGGTTCCTGTCACAGACGAGAACCCTTGGTTGACTGCCAGGTTTCTTTGTTTTAAGTGCTTCTGCTGTGTGGTCTACGTGGTGTTGCTATGCCTCTTAGAAAGAACTGGACAGGAGGGGTTGGTGGCGGCGATGGTGGCGTGGGTGCCCGAGCCACACAGCCAGGACCTTGCCTTTGCTCAGGCTTTTCACCAGGCTAGATGTCTGATTTTGTTTTTTCTTTTTAAATCATTGACCAAGAATCCAACTAGAATACATATTAATATCCATATCCACACTAACTACCACATTAGGAGTCTTTCATGAGACATTAGCTAAGAAGTTGAGCTAAATTATTTGGCCTCAGATTGAGAAATGAGTCCATCCACTGAATTGTGTGTGTGTAGTGAGATTTTTTTTTTGCATGTCTATTTAATTTCATTTTGCTTTTCAGAATGATTTCATAGGCATCATTTAACCTGTCATCACTGCACAGTAGCTTTGTAAAGCAGACTTTGTTAGTAGGACAGTGTGAGGAAAAATGAAAGATGCAGGCTGGTTAATAGAGCCACCGCTGAGGACACGTCTACTCAATCCCATTTGCTCTTGTTAGACCGCAAAGCAGCTTGAAGTTTTCAGGCTTTTCATTCAACCTGCAGGTCTTTCTTGGACTTACTGACAGTCTCGCCCAGTGGCCCTGGGTTTTCCGTCAGCATGGGTGTTAAGAATTAACACGTCTCGGGATTCTGTCCAAGATGTCTAGAAAAGTCTCCTAGAACATCGTGGCTTACCCTCAGGAACTGACTAACAGTCTCTAATGTTGAAGAGCAGGAGTCAGCCAGCTGGTCACATGCTGCTGCCCCTATGCTTGTCGAGTACAAGGAGAACAGCCTGAGCATAATCTCTGGAATTCTGTCTTGTTTTAATGTTTCAGCGGTTTTCAGTTAAAAGGTTCCCATGATCCAGTGACCCCGCCTGTTAAATAAGAATTTCATAGCTTCCTGCCAGGTTTAACTACTTAGCTATAGGTTATTATTCTATGTGAAGTACATCATCTCCAAGATTAATGAATAAGATATGTGACAGGCAGAGCTAGCTTGTAGAAAAGGTTTCATGTCGAAGAAAATACATGCTCAATTGGACATGAAGACTTTTTAATGTTTATTCTTTTCAAGTTGAAACACAAAGGATATTATCAAACTTTGAGTCCCTAAAAAAATCATTTTACAAACATTAACACTAAATAAGTGTGTACCTACCAGATTCGATTTCATAATGAAAATATATTAACTTTACATGTTTATTAAGTGATTTGGGCCAGATGTTTTCATAGTAATTAAAGTACTAGATCTAGTCTAAGAGGCCAAATTTTCACATTAATATTTCCAGAGTTGAATGTCTTATAGACAGTGGTGGGTATGGCTCCTGTATGGTTTGAATCTGAA